ATAAAGTGATAGAGACACCTGGCAATGACCTTCAGCCTCAGCATCCATGTACCCATCCACATGTGCACCACAGGCCCATAAACACACACACACACACACACACACACACACACACACACACACACACACAAATGTAAATAACAACATAGCATGCTGACTGGCTGAGCTGGGAGTTACATTCCTGTCCCCCAGATTTATCTCTGTGACCAGGGAGGACAGATGGGTCCTAAAAGGAGTGAGGCACTTGGAACAAGTCTGCAAGATGTGCAGTTCTGAGAGTGAAAAGGGCCATTTTCTGGGGTCTTGGAATGCTTTGCAGCCTTCAGAGACAGGCCGCTTCTTGCAGATTGGTCCTCCAAGATTCTCCAACTGCAGTGATGCCATCCTTCAGCTTAAGGGTTTGGTTAACTGAATTCACTATTTGTGTGTGTGTGAGGGGTGTTGCTGGTCATCGAACCCAGGGCATCATTTACACTAAGCACAGACTTTTCCATGGAGCTGCACCTTTGGCTTGGTCTGTACTATTTCAAAATGAGTTAACAGTCTCATGTGGGCTACAAAGGCACACTAATTGAGTCAGATTGGCCTAAGGGTCCAACAAATACAATTTTCTGCATCTTTCTCATCGGAGTGCTAACTAAGAGGTCTTTCTCTGCTTTTCTTTGCTTTGTTTTTTGAGGTGGGGTCTCACTGTATAGCCTGGTTGTCCTGGAACTGGCTACACAGACCAGGATCTCCATGATCCCCTTGTCCTGAGTGCTGGGGTAGACTACAGGCACGTATCACTAGACCTTGCTGTGGGATGTTTTGTATGTCCTGTGGGAGCCCATTCTCGGGTTCCTCGTGGCTTTACCCAGCAGGTTTGCATAGAGGATGATTAGGACCATGGGCCTGAGTGCAGGTGTCTGAGATGGTCTGCACTTGGCTGTGCTGGGGGATGGTCTGTATGTCAAGTCGCTCTGATTGGTCAATAAATAAAACCTGATTGGCCATGGCTAGGCAGGAAGTATAGGCGGGACTAACAGAGAGGAGAAATAAAAGAATAGGAAGGCAGAAGGAGTCACTGCCTGCAGCAGCCTCCAGGACAAGGAAGGTATAAAGTACCAGTAAGCCACGAGCCACGTGGCAAGATACAGATTTATAGAAATGGACTAATTTAAGATATAAGAACAGTTAGCAAGAAGCCTGCCACAGCCATACAGTTTGTAAGCAATATAAGTCTCTGTGTTTACTTGGTTGGGTCTGAGCGGCTGTGGGACTGGCGGGTGAGAGAGATTTGTCCTGACTGTGGGCAAGGCAGGAAAACTCCAGCTACAATACCTGGCTCATGTTTTTGAGATTCTCTCTTTGTGATCAAGGTTGGCTTCAAACTCATGATCTTCCTGCCTCAGCCTCCTGAGTGCTGGGATTATGGTGAGCAGCACGTCTTGCTGATGAGGAACTGGATTCCTGTTTAGTCTAGTTTACACCGAAGATCAGCGTCTCAACAAATCAAGGCAGCCAGCAGACCAGGGTTTGCTATTTGACTTTATAAAAATACACAACTTAAATCCATATGACACTCTGTATACAAGACAGAAACAACGGGTAGTTGAACACTTTCAGTTATTTCAACAGAAAGCAAATATGTGAATTACTTTGTAGGAGCAGTCACAGTCAAGGGCAAGACTGTGCAGAGAGCAATCGGTGCAGGGAACTAACCCAGGCTGCCCATCTTTCCAGTCACAGTCCTTCCCCAAGAGCCTCTACCAGTCAGCTCGGCACCACACTGTGTGACAGACACAGCCACTGAACGCCCACACCACAAGTGAACACAGTCATCCTCCCCAGGGATGGTGAATGGCACAACCAATGTCCAGGGGCACTACCCGTGTCTAAAACTGTGCTCAGCACCAGGAGGAGGATGAGGATGAACAGCTCCTTGCTTGTGTGGCCTGCAGTGGAAATTGCTTAGCTTGATTTTACAACTAAATTCATTTTCAAAAGTTTTCCAGAAGTGCTGGGAGACTTAGCTCCATTGCCTGCAGTGTGAGGGAAGTGCCATTCCAGACCTAGAAGAGGGCACTGTCCCTGCCAAAGGCAATCCCCTCATCCTCCTGGTGACGGCTGCCACTCTAGTGGACTAGCCTCTTGTCCCTGATTCAGAGCTGGCAGGCACTCCTTGCTTTACTCTGATGAGCTTTCAGCCACCCAGCTGCCCGACCTATGGCTCGCTGACCACCCAGCTGCCCGACCTATGGCTCACTGACCATCTAGCTGCCTGACCTATGGCTCACTGAATTAAGAATTAGGTACTAGTTTGCAGGTATAAAGAAGTACTTATCACTTGAGATTTCAATCAGTGAGAACATACTAGAATAAGTTTCCTGAGGTAAATACAAGCCTTAAAGAATGGTGCAGAGTTTATAGGATGCCCGTGATTTTATCCTCAACATCTGGACTCTTAACAGGCTGGTAAAACCAAGGACACATTGAAATGGATATAAAGTGGCGGTGCTTAAGTAAGAGATACGGACAGTGGAGAACGGCCATTCCTAGGGAGGCACAAGGAGAGACGTCTCTGACACGAAAGGAGAGGATTTCTCAAGTGCTGGAGATGGATGGAGAAGTGACTCTGAGATGCACCAGGGATTTCCAACAAGGTGAGGAAGTCACCCTTGTTGATGACTCAGATGTAGAAGACATGGCTTTTCTCTAATAACAGTTGGTCAAATGTTTTATCCCTTTTGAGGGACACAAGGTCCTTTAAAGTTTTCAGCCACTGAAGTGGCTGAGTTGTGACTCCTGCTGATACTCTGAGATCTTAACTGGGTAAAGAGTTTTAAAGAGCACGAAGGAAAAAGCACACACCTGTACCAAGAACTGAAATGAACGCAGGGGTCTGTACCGGTTTCAAGAAGCTAAGGTTCATTTTGAGGCATGCTTCGATGGTTCTAAAGCCCTGCTGCTGGATTGTAGAAATCAGAAAACCCTGGGACCCTGAGGCTCAACCTTCTCATTTTATCGACATATATAAAGTAGAATACAGCCACCCTAAATGTTAATAAGGTCTTAGAAACAGAGTCTCAAGAGCTAAGAGGCAAGCCCAGGCTACATTTCAGCAAGTCACTCTGAGGGACCGGAAAGGGAACACTGAAGTGCCCTGCTGTGACTGTTCGTCTGCCCATGGTGTGGAACCATGCACAACCGTGCAGAAGACTGGGCCCCACGCTCGGGCTGACAGCCCCAAGCACGATCCCTCATCATGTGACCCCACCATCTGTCCAAGAGCAGGTGGGCAGTGGGGTGCATGAGGCATGAAGGAAGCCGCAAGCAGAGCTGGGGCCCACAAGAACCTCGAGTGGAGTTCTCGGACCAGAAGAAATCATAAAGCCACATCCCAGACCTCTTCATGGTTTTTTTTTTTTTTTTTTTTTTACACAGATCTGAATTCATGACGGACAACACTTTTAAGCTCAGTACAGCTGAGCACAGCCATACGAAGTGAGGCTACTATGGAGGAGGGAATAACCCAGTGGCCTGCAGTGGCTTGGCTTCTTAGGTGAGAAAGATGTTATCTGGCAACCATCATGGGACAGGTGTTTAAAGGTCACAGTCTAGTCACGGTTTTGTGTCCTTCAAAACTCCAGTTAGCGCAGGTGGCTGCAGCTAAAACTACGAGTGACAGAGTCAGGAATGAGGACCAGAGTCAAGCCACCAGCCAGCTCCCCTGCGCTGTGAGAAATGCAGCCCCAGGGCTCCATCCAGCCCCATCCTGAGGACCAGGCCCAGACAACGGCCTGAGGGATGCGTCTCTATGCGAAACGAGTTCGCAAACTCATAGTTTAACAGTCTCTTCAGAGACTTGGAGCCCAAGCAGAAACGGTAGAGATTCTGCCCTACCCAGGCCCAGGACGTCCCACTGTGCCCCCAACAGGTCATACTCATTTCAAGTCAGCTGAGCCTAGGGCAACACTAGGGATTCAAGGAGAGAGGTGATGGCGGATGTGGGGTATAACAATAGAGTTGGGCGAGAAGAGAAATGGATTAACACTGGTGCCCAAGAAAGAGACCTGCTTCTGGAAGAGTGCCTGCCTGCCTGCCTCTCTCACCACCTGGTGAGGAACGAGGAGAGGGACAAGTCTTTGGAGGGACCCTCTTGGTGCCCAACACACCCCAGCTCAGCTGGCCTTTCCCTGGGTGGTGTGGCTCAGTGCATACTCCCGAGTGATTCTGTCTTGGCCTCTGGTCCCTCGTCCCCAGGGGCACAGCACTCTGCTTGCTACTAGGGCAGAGCAAAGACCTAGGATCCAGGGTAGGCTTCAGGGTCCCCAGCTCCTGAGGACACCACCCTTCTCTCTTAGCGCGGGCTCGTCTCTCCCCCTGCTGGCTGAAGAGGGAACAGAGGGAATGTCCTAGAAGGGCAGGCAGAAGAGAACAGCGTCACCTCACTTTACATTCTCCTCAAGGGTGCTTGTTTTTCCTTTTTTTTTTTCTTTGAGAGATTCTCGCATATAATCCAGACTGGCCTCAAACTCTCAATCCTCCTGCCTCATCCTCCTGAGTGCTGGGATTCTAGGCACGTGCTACCATGCTTGACTATAGACAAGAAGCGGGGATGCTAAGCTCCCGGGGCGGGTGCCGTCCACTCACTCCTGTCCTTCTCCTTTCTGTTTTTATCCCCTCCTCTGTGATGGTACATGGATGGATGGGTCGGGGGGAGGAGAGGCAGGTGAGTCAAAGTGTCCTGATGCCCTCCCTGTCTCTAGAAGCCTCACGGACTTTCAGAAGCCAATGCCTAAGCGATGCTACAATTACGAACACGGAGTTATCTGGCCGTAAGAAATGAAACGCAGTGCCTAGGAGACGTGGGGCTCTCCCTCACACCAAAGCAGGTCATCTCGCTGCGAAAGGCCCACAACATGGTACAGGCACCCACACTATTAACTCACAAATGACAGCACATGAGGGAACCGAACGGTGAGCATCTGGGGAGGAAAAATCCACGCTGGTTATTTCACCTCAGGGGAGTCTGCACTTGAGGCTGCCCGTCGCTTCCTCTGCCGTCTACTTGACGTTTTTCAGGAGGGCTGTCCGGGCATTCACAACCGCTTTGAAGGCGTCTTCACTGCCGGGCGCTACACATTTGTCCGGGTGAAGCAGCACAGCCAGCTTCCGGTAGGCCTTATTGACTTCCTCCCTGCAAAAAGCAGCCGCGCTCTGTCAGTAACCAGGCTGGCCCCAAATCCCGCATCCCAGCTCTCTGGACACACTAGGCATCTCCCATGCCATCATTTCCTTTTCTCAAAGGTAGGATAAAAGACTAAAAAACAACAATAAACACAGGCCCTATACGAGCAGAAAAGCACAGTTGGGGGCTGGGGCTATAGCTCAGTGGTAGAGCGCTTGCCTAGCAAGCGCAAGGCCCTGGGTTCGGTCCTCAGCTCCAGGAGGGGAAAAAAAAAAGAAACAAAAGAAAAACACAGTTGTAAGTGAGTCTAGAAGTCAGTCCAAGAAGTGCCATCCGCTGCCAGGCAGCTCTGCACACTCAGGGGCAAGAGCAAGCCTTCACTCACTGAAGGGATGAGAGCCTTTCTCCCTGGGAAAATCCTCAGGAGAAGCTTTTGGAAAAAGAGGAGCCTGTGATTAGCACAGGGTGGAGGATTTGGAATGCCAGGGAGGAACTGGCAGAGAGGCTTGAAGCAGAGAGCAGATGTATGGCCTCCAAAGCAAAACACTGAGCTTGACTGACAATAACAATAGTAGGCATTCTGTGGCAACGGGCACTGAGAAAGCTGTTTCTCAAAGTTGAGAGACAGGCAGACTACCACAGAGCAAGTTGAAGGTGTCCGTGAGAACAGCCAAGGGAAGAGAGCGTACACCCCAGGAACACACGTCGGTGGGAGCAGCTGAAGATAAAGGAGGAGCTGCGGGACGGATGGGCTGGAGAGGGCTGGAGACGACAGGTTCCTTCGCCATCCCCACTCCTAGCCACGCTCAGGTGTCAGGCTCTGTCCCCACCACATGGCTTTCCTTCCCAAGCTTCTGTCATCAGAGGGCCCGCGATCCTGTCAGCATGGCATGGTGCTGTCAGGGGCCTTTACCCCCTGTTTCTGTTGGAAGGACTTCTCACAGCGCTCTCCCCGTTACAGAGATGCCCCTTGCTGGCTTGGAGATGGTACCGAGTCTGGTGTCCATCTGGAGAGACTAAGGTCTGGGGTCGCAGCAGTAAGTCCCTGTGTCTTAGGCACACATGCCAGAGCTCTACCTGCTGCTGGAGGAGTCCTTCCCAATTTCCTTGTTCTAGCTTTGCATGCTATAGTCTTTTTTTTTTCTTTTTCTTTTTTCTTTTTGGTTTTTCAAGACAGGGTTTCTCTGTGTAGCTTTGGAGCTTGTCCTGGAACTCACTTGGTAGCCCAGGCTGGCCTCGAACTCACAGAGATCCGCCTGCCTCTGCCTCCCGAGTGCTGGGATTAAAGGCGTGCGCCACCACCGCCCGGCTGCATCTTATATTCTACACATGCAATGTGGAGTCTTTTCTATGCAATGTGTTTGTGTGGTGTGTGCCTGTGTGCCTGTGTGCCTGTGTGCTTGTGTGTGTGTGTGTGTGTGTGTGTGTGTGTGTGTGAGAGAGAGAGAGAGAGAGAGAGAGAGAGAATACCTAGAGGCCAGAGGTCAATGCCAGCTGTCTTCTATCACTCCCCACCTTATTCTTTAAGTCGGGTCTGTTACGCCTCAACATGGCTGCTTTAGCTACACTGGTGGCTGGGGAGCTCCAGGGATTCACCTGTCTCTGGCCTCCCCAAACTAGGATCCCCTACACTGCCATGCTTGGCTTTCGTATGGGTGCTGGAGTGCAAACTCGGGTCCCTACTCTTACGTAGCCAACACTTTATCCACGGAGCCTTCTTCCCAGGCCTACATATGCAGTCTTGGTACTGCTCATCAACGGCACCCCCTTCGTGGAAGAAATTAGAACGGCCAGAGTTTGTATCTACCCAACGATCCTGTGTCCTTGAGGTGAGGACACATCCCCTCCTTCTCCAAGACGGAGTCTGGGGCAGAGCCAAGGGAGCCACTGATTTGGGGAGCATGTCTAGATGGGCTCAGTGTTACGCCTGGCCCCTGCACTGAGAGCCTGTCAAGATTTACAGGCACAGAAAAGGCTCTCAAGGGAAAGTTCTGGAGAAACAAGATTGGTGCGGGTGTGTGTGTCAACACTGTATCACCTACGGACAGTAGGTCAAGAACTGTAAGCACATTTGGCCCCAAGCAAGTACCAGAATTCGCTAGAACTTAACACTCAAGTTCAAGGATTTGTCCCAAATGTGCCAACGTCATTTGACAGACAGTTGTACAGATAAACTTGTGTTTATACGGGTTAAGGAAACAGAAATCGCAGAGGCTCTGGAATTTACCAGAGCTCTGGCAGAGTCGAGATAGCCAAAATCAATAAAGAGCCGACATTTTCTTCTTCTTCCACCATGCCCAGCTCTTCCTAAATCAATCTTGTGAATAAAACAGGCAACTACACATTACCCAGTCACAGTTGGGAATGAGCAGGGTTTATGAGGAAGGCAGCTGGGCCCACGGTGTTCCTGGGCTGAGAGGCACCACTGTCTGCTGGGGCCTCAGGGACCCCATTTCACTGGACACCAGTTTCCCCAGGCAATGAGAGCATGTTGACAAATCTTTCTTCTTCTAAAAGTCTGTGATTTACGAATTATTTTTTGTCAAGTTGTCTAAGGTTGTGGAAGATTCTTGCTCAACAGTCAAAGGTGGAGCAAGGCACTTCGTCAAGTGTTTACGCGAACACGGCCCAGCTCGCTCAGCGGGCACCGGGCTTCTGTTTTATTTCTGTGTTGTTGGTGGGGCAGAGTCCTCGTGAAACTCGTTTCCACACCACTTCGAGGGGCCAGCCACTTAGAAGGAGAAAGATGGCGTCGCACTTTAGACAACAGAGCCTCGGCTCTTACAGAACGCCGCACCAGGCCCCCCAGACCTGCTTACCTGGAGGCCCCGGGTCTGACTCCCAGCATGTCCCAGCTGTCCTTACTATTTCGGATTCTGCGAATGGTGTCTGCTTGTTCTTTGGTGAAACTAGCACTGTTATTGGCAGTAGGGCGCTTCCCGCCATTTTCACACAGGTCCACTATGGACACGTAAAAGGTCTGCAGGGAGAAAACACATCCCAGAGAAGCGATTCTGTGAACTAAGAGTTTCTCTCACACAGTCGGTAACTTTTCTGTTGTTGTTGTTCTTCGAGACAGGGTTTCTCTGTGAAAAAGCCCTGGCTGTCCTGGAACTTACTCTGTAGCCCAGGCTGGCCTCGAACTCACAGAGATCCGCCTGCCTCTGCCTCCCGAGTGCTGGGATTAAAGGCGTGTGCCACCACTGCCTGACCCACTTCAGTAACTCTTACAAGTCAGGAGTAATACACTTACTTGGAAGATATTTCTCACTTGATTCAACTATATTTATATCCTTGGCACTGAGGACGGACCCCAGGGCCTTAGTGCACTACCCAACACCCTAACTACATATTTTTAAAACAGAAAAGTGTGAGCTAACTTCAAATTTATGTTTAATTTAAACAATTAGAATGATTCATAATTCTACTCTCAGAGAAGCACATTTGGAGTTGGTAATAGATGAACACTGTTAAAAAATCCAACAGTAAATTCTCAAAACTTTCTCCCTGATATAGGCACATTAGCATATTTAGTATCCCTACAGAAACAGCACATGTCGTATGCAAACACACAAACTTTCACCTGTGGGTCTGGTGATGCATGCCTGTCAACCCGGCTACTTGGGAGGCTAAGGCAGGAGAAGCAGGAGGTCAAGGTCTACTGGATCAACAGAGAGGGTTCAAGACTAGCCTCAGTAACTTAATGAGACCCAGTCTCAAAACAAAAAGTGAAAAGGAGACTTGGGATCAGCTCAGTGGCAGAGTGACTGCTTAGCCTGAGCAAGGACCTGGGTTCAATCCCTAGATCTGCCTTGGAAACGTCCTACATTTTCAGACCCTCTTTGCGCTCTAGTGACTCCAGTATCCTATTATGTGGCTGTTTATTTAATTTATTTAATTCCCTATTCCCGGACTAGCCTGTTATGTTAAGTCTTTCAGTCACTGCAGACAGTATTGAATCGTTTTGTTTTTTGGTTTTGTTTTTGGAGACAGGCAGGCCCTGAACTAGCCACACACAGAGGGTGATACTGAACTCCTGATCCCTGTCTCTGCCTCTTAGTGCTGGGATGACGGGTGTGCATTACCAGTGCAGCTCTGCTGTGTGCCCCTGGGTGACCTCAACCTGAGTCTTCTGCAAGAACAACACGTGCTCTTAACTTCTGAGCCTCTTTCTGTAATTGTAAGTAGAGTGAGTCTCTCCCTCCCTTCTCCTTCCTCCCCTTCCCTCTCCTCTCCTCCCCTTCTCTCCCCTCCCCCTTTCTCTTCTCTCATCCCCTTCCCTCTCCTCCCCTCCCCTTCTCTCCCCTCCCCCTTTCTCTTCTCTCATCCCCTTCCCTCTCCTCCCCTCCCCTTCTCTCCCCTCCCCTCCTCTTCCCTCTCCTCCCCTCCTCTGCCCTCTCCTCCCCTCCTCTTCTCTCTCCTCTCCTCTCCTTCTCTCTCCTCTCCTTCTTCCTCCCTTCCTCCACTCCCCTCGTGCTAGGCAGGTACTGTGCACTCCCAGTGCCTAGAATTATTTTAATTGATGGATCTCCTCTTCCCTTGGTTTCTCTTGAAATATCTTCCTCTCTGATTTCAGATTCTTCAACAGCGCCCTTTGTCTCCTTTTGTAAATGTATCTTTGGGGCTGAGAACTCTGTAGTTAAGTGTGCACTGCTCTCCTGGAGGACCGGAGTTGGGCTCCCAGCACCCATGCTAGATGGCTCACAACTGCCTACGACTGATGCCTCCGGCCTCCTCACATCACATGCAAAAACACATACACATAATTAAAAGAAATCTTTTAAAAATGTATCTTTCCCACAAGCTCCTCTTTCTCATTTCCAGGAACTGCAAACGACTGGGAACCTAACAAGAAACTTGACATCTGGAAAGAAAGAGCATCATGGGAAAAGCCACCAGACCAGGACCACAGGGGTGCTGGTTCATGTGTGTGATCTTAGGATTACCTTTGCTAGCAGAGTCAGATCAGACAAAACCACCTTCCTGCCGGCACAAAGTCTCTGTTAAGCGGTAGGAAATCGAGACAATGTTTATCAAACCGAGTCACCAGGAGAGCACAGCTCCAGGCTTACCTACAGGACAGTGTTACTGTCTCTTCTTGTCAGCCTACCCACCATGCCTACCAAGAGCAGCCAGAAGGATAAAAGCACCAAGAAGGGTCACAGTTCACAAATGTCACTAGGGTTAGGGTTGACATTGCCTGGGATTAACTTGAAATAGAAATATGTAGATTCTGTGGGCACAGGTAGTTATTAATTAGCACTCGTGGTGACAGAAGACCAGCCGTAGTCTTCCGAGGAGGCGGTGGTCAAAGTGGTAACTCTCAGGTCTTAGCTCCATCCATCCCGTGCACAGTGCTAGACCAGACCTCCTGTCGACCATCCCACAGAACAAAGACATGGCAGCTATTTCCAGGCGGTGGACAGCAGAAGCATGAACTACTGAGAGGCGAGCAGGACTCTTCCTAGAGGCCGTATCTGGAGCGTGCAGACACAAAACCCCACTGAGAGAAGGGGGCAGAGGCAGAGACCAGAGTCTAAGGCTACAGGAGGGCAGGAATCAGCAGAGCGAGCTACTGGGCAGAAGGGAGCTGGGCAGAGCTGGGCCCACTCTAGGTGGGGCTTCCTTGTGGGTTTGGAGCTAAGAACTAGGTTACTCATGCGAAGACTGATGGCAAGACTTAAGGCCACCTGAAGCTTGCCAGACAGGAGCTGAGAATACAATCCTTATTTTCTAGGGGAAGAGCTAGCCCAAGACACCTGAGCTTGGCCTTCCCAGAAGACCTAATCAACACTCCTGATATCCCCCTGGGGCACCACAGAAAGGCTGTACCTTAAGAACTTCACCCACCCTAACTACACCCAAAGCCAAGAGGCAGAATTTGGAAGCTGAATCCTGCTAAATCAGAAGGTTTAAGAAACACTTTGGGCTTCCTTCAGATCTCTGACATTAAGCAAAACTGCAAGCTTACACGAGTTCATTTCAATCTGTCTCCTGCAACAAGAAGCGTCATTCTCCTGGAAAAGACAGAGAAATCTGCGGGGTCTCTACAATGCACTCTCCACAGATGTGGTACCCAGTCAATACATCACTACCACACAAAGAAACAAGAAAACATGACCGATGTCGGAGAAAGCAGTCAGCAGTAACTGACCCCACGCTGGTTCAAATACTGGACTTGGTAGACTTCACAACAGCTGGCTGTAAGAAATACTGTAAAGGAAATAAAGGAAAATACACCTAAAGAATTAAAGGAAAATATATTGATATATCTTTAAAAAAATATCTTCTTTGGGCACTGAAGAGATTGCTCTTGAGAGGACCTGGGTTCAGATCCCAGCACCCACATGGCAGCTCACAACTGCCTGCAACTCTAGCTCCAGAAGACCCAACACCCTCTGTCCTCTGTGGTACCAGGCAAACACACGTTGCACATAGAAAACAGGCAAACACTCATACGCATAAAGTAAAATAACTTTTTTAAAAAGAAAAAAAAAAAAACAGGCTGGGAATAGCCAGGCTGTGCTGGCACACGCCTTTAATCCCAGCACTCGGGAGGCAGAGTCAGGTGGATCTCTGTGAGTTCGAGGCCAGCCTGGGCTACAGAGGGAATCCAGGACAGTCAGGGCTACACAGAGAAACAGGTCTTGAAAATCCAAGAAAGAGGGGGTTGGGAGATGGCTTGGTTGGTAGGACTCGCTGCACAGCATAAGGCCCTCAGTCTGATCCCACTTTTAAAATGCTGCACACAGTAGTGTGTGTCTGTCACCCGGCACTGGGAGGCAGAGACCGGTGGATACTGGGACTTGCTGGCCAGCCAGCCTAGGGGAGCTGGGGAGCCCCAGGCCAGTGACAGACCCTGTCTCAAAAAACCAGGGGATGGCACCTGAGGAATGACACCCAAGATTGTCCTCTGGCCTCCATATGTGTGCGCACACACACACCAAAAAGAAACAAGGAAAAGATTCCCCATATTTGATGAAAAATACCTCCCCTTTATATAAAAGTGATTTCTTTAACATGGGGAGGGAGAGTAGTTAAGAGCATGTGCTGCTCTTGCAGAGGACTTGGGTTTGATTCCCAGCACCCACAGGGCAGCTCACAACAGCCTGTGTGACTCCAGCTCCAGAGGACCCAACACCCTCTTCTGACCTCTGTGGGTACCAGGCAATCTCAGAAATGAACAAATCCCAGGTAGGATACATATCAAGAGAGGCACACCTCAGCATAGCCCAGCTGCTGCAAACACACTCTCCAAAGCATCCAGAAACGGGAAAACGTGCAATATGGACAGAGACATTAGAGTGTGAACATGGCTTCCACCTTATGAGACACACAGAGGCCAGAGAATGGAATTTAATCTATGAAGGGTTTTTTGTTGTTGTTTTCAGTGAGTCAACGCAACGTTATTCCACAGTATAGGGGATATATAGGATTGGGTAGCTGGGGAATCACCTAATTAGACAGTGTGCATTAGACAGCACACTCCTATCATAAGGCTCCTAATACAAGTCTTAGTCATCATCTGTGGAAGCGCGGTCCTATCGTAAAGCTCCTAGCACAATGTCTCATTACCACATGGGAAGCAGGGCAAAGCTTCTGCAGGGAGCTGGGTCCAGGGTGACACTAGAGATAAGTCAGTCACCAGGTAGAGAACAGGCCACCTCTACTGGCGGCACGGAGTTGTCCATGTTGCTGCCAGGCCATGACAGACTGACCAGCAGTCAGTCTCTGACCAGCACGGTCTCCCAGCATGAAGATGCCAATTACCCTGATTTGCACAGTGAAGCATTGTATAGGTGTATCAAAGGATCACAAATAATGGGCCGTTGAAGTACTGAGTTAGAAGAAAAGAGAAGTGTAGTCTCTCCCAGTTACTGCACTCACTCCCTGAGATGCTCTCATATGTGAAACAAAAATAACACTGTCACACACTGTCACACATCCCAAATAAGGTGAGACGTGTAAATACCAGAACTGTCAGAGGTTACCTGAGTGGCTGTGCATCACAGATAAGGCACACGCGCACACGCACAGACCAACGTGCTCAAAGGAAGAGGAACCACAGCAAACCAGCAGCACCCTGCCAGTCAAGATGGCACTCGTCTTCCAGGAGGCGTGGCCTCTTGGGAGAAGGAAATCCAGAGACAGAATCAGTACAACCCCGCCCTGAAATTAAGACGACTCTGTGCAGGATAGCTACACTATCTGAAAGGCTGAAAATTCCTCAAATGCCAGACACAGTCATAAGAAGAAAAATAATTTATTCACACCACCATGTCCAAATGGATCTATAATCAAGCCCTGACTCTATTACTTGCTGTTTCAAATAGCCTACATCCCTTAAATTATACAAAATTAATGGCTTTAAAAAGTGACATCTGGAAGCCAGTGGTGGTGTACACTTTTGATCCTAGCACTCGGGAGGCAGGGGCAGGCGGATCTCTGTGAGTTCGAGGCCAGCCTGGTCTACAAAGCGAGTTCCAAAAGAAGTTCTAAAAGTGGGGCTAGGGATCCAGGAGCAGTGGCTGGTGCCCACAGCCCCAGCACTAGATGGAAAATAGACAAATACATCCTGGTGTCTGTGTGGCTGCCAATCTAGATAGTTGATGAGCTCCAGGTTCATGGAGACACACCGTCTCAAAAGGTGAACAGCAAGAGAGAAAGACACTTGACATCTACCTCTGCACACCTGACAGTACACCTATACATATATGTTCAAGTCCATGCACTTGCATGCGTGCACGAACACACACACACACACACACACACACACACACACACACACACACACACACACACACACACACAAAGAAATGACCACCTTCTCTGGCTGCCATGTGAGCACATCCTTCTATATTGCCTTTTGGATTTCTATGCATGTCCCCTGGATTCTGCAATGATGGTCTCCTAAGCTAACTGTGACCTCCATGAGCTGCTCTGTGAGTACAGGGTTAGACATCTTTGTGCGCCAAGGCAATTTTGCTACAGCAAGGCTTCATATGAATGTCACACCATTATCCAAAGATGGTTTTGAAGAAAAATCTTCATCCCAGTGAAGTAGCACACTAACTTGCTCAAACCTGATGACCACCACAATCACCTGGAGTGTTTTTTCAAGGCACAAATTCCTGGGCTCTAATCAGGAGTGGTGGCACACGCCTTTGAGCCCAGCACTCAGGAGATAGAGGCAGGTGGACCTCTGTGAGTTTAAGGCTAGCCTAGTCTACAGAGTGAGTTCTAGGACAGCCAGGACTACATAGTGAGACCATGTCTCAAACAAAATAAAAGTAAAATATCCCTAGACGCCATGGCAACTTGAGATTTCCAGAGGTCTGAAGGAGACGTTGCGTGTTGAAGAATTACCCCAGGTTCATTCTGACTGTCTCCTTGCTGGGATCAGAATCACTGTGGAATGTTTGTGAGGGCTTTTCTAGACTGGGTTAATGGCCTGTACTCTTCAACTGGGACCTACAATAAACCCCTCATGTTCCTTAACTTGCTTTTGACAGGTTATTTGACGGCAGTAATGGGAACAGGAGCTAAGACATCAGGTGACCTACAATAGAGAGCAGACAGATCGATCATCTCTCTCGCCACCTCTCCCTCTCCACTTTGACAAAGTCCCATGACTGTTCTGCCCCTCGGGATCTTAACTATACACTGGCATGGCTAGATCAGGATGTCTGCTTACCTGGAACATCTCACTGATTCCCTCTCCAGTTTGTGCTGACGTCTCGAAGTACAGGAAGCCCTTGCTTTCAGCCCACAGACGCCCCTCACTTTCATCGACACAGCGGTGTTTGGTGCAGTCAATCTGAAAGACGAAGTCGGGAGGGGGCAGAGAGAAGATCCGCCCGTGTCCCACACACCAGGCCCAGTGACTCCCCACCACTGAGCCTCGGGCAGTGTATACAATCACCAGATTAAACAGGATCAAACCACGAACCCCACCGACTGGTTTTCTAATTTAGGCTGCATTTCCCACTCCTCCCATGGGAAAGCAGCTGCTATGGACTTCTGTGAAAGTGACTTCATGATCTGTCCTACCCAGGGGTCACCTTCTGTTGTCTGCCATAAGCAACCCACTCCCACCAAGTCAAGACATGAATATCAGGCTTTTCCTGATTGTCCCCAGTGTGCTTCCTCAAGGTGGACACCAAGGGAAAAAATGAATAAAAATCCAGTTAGACCAGGTTTTGTCTCAGAGACGTTTTCAAAGGCTACCAACTACTGATTTCCATGTTAAAAATAGCGCCTCCTCAGTGCGCATGTGCATCTCTGAAGACTGAACACGATGTCTCAGTACGCCACGCAGGCTGGCCTGAACTCTCTACATAGCTCAGGTTGGCCTCCAGTTCATAATCCTCCTGCCTACAGTTCCTGAGTCCTGGAATTACAGGCTAAGCTACACATCCAGCTCTTGCCTCTCCGTATCCTCAAACTCACAGTTGTGTTAGCAAACCAATTCAAAGCAGTTACCTTGTTGGCACATACAACAAAGACAATATTGTCCATGTTCCCGTGAGACCCAAGCTCCTGCTTCATTTCTGCCAGCCACGAATCCAGGGCATCAAACGAGTCTTTCTGTCCAACGTCATAGACCAGTATCACACCTTGCGTGTCCTTGTAAAATTCGTTTCGTACCTTCAGATGGAAGAACAGAGGCACAAGATGTTGGCTCTGTGATCTTTGTAAGAATGCACCTCACAGCCATTAACTTAACAAAGTGTGCCCTCTTTTATATTCAGAGTACTCATTATTATATCTCAGCATTTACTGGCTTTTATAGGACTTTATATAAAATGAAAATGAAACAAACGAATCTGTAGGTCAGGAGAATTTTTTAGCAAACACGGATCACAGCTCCTCAGAGGCAGCGCTCTCTAGCTGTTGGTAGACTCAGAAGACAGTCCTGTTAAGAACTTCTCAGGAAGGTAGGCAAAATGACACGATTATGAACCACACAAACATCACATCCCAGAGTTTACCCAGCATTCCAGGCAGAGCTTCCAGACTGTTCCAGGGCTATACACCAATGTTCAACCCCCGAACTCAGAGCCCAGTGAAACCAGATGGTCAGGAGCACAGCTGAGGTGGCAGGCAGCTCTGGGTTCACGTCCACTAGAAATCGTGTGACCTTGGCAATCCCACAACCTCTCTGTACTTCCTGTCTGTAAAAGGGGATCACAGTCCTAGGACTAGGTGAGGTCATGAAGGCATCACACTTAGCATGGCGCCTGGAAAAACCACACATACAAGCTCCTCTCCCTTCCTTCCTTGCATTCTGTCTGACTGTCCTGAGATAATTCATCAGAAATGGCAACTTGCCTCTGGGACATGGCTGCAGCTCTCAAAAGAGCTGACAAGAAGAAGAGGGTGAACTCAAGTGGTCGAGGCAGTGAGACGTTGGGTGGGCTAGAATTCTGGTAGGAACCTGGCAGAGAACATAGCTCTGTTCTTTTCACAGGATCCCCGAATGCACTCCGACTCACTCTAGCTAAGGAGTCAGAAGTCAGGAAGCAGGGGTGGTAGGAATGCCTGTTATAGCAGCGCTCAGGAGGCTGAGACAGTGATCGTGAGGTTAAGGCCAGCATAGGCTATGTAGTGAGTTTGGGCTAGTCTGAGCTATCTAACAAAACTAGGGGGAGGGGGGGAGGCATTTATCTTTCACACTGGGCATGGGCTCCTGAGCATTGACAGAAACTTTTGACCAAGAACATGAGGGTCTATGATTACCTTAGAGAAACCTAAGAAGCAGTCCACCACAGTAAGAAACATCAGCACAACCAGTCTCTGCCTCCAAAGAGAGGATGGCTGAAAATGTCTAAATGTGCTAAGGGCCTTAACTTACAGATTCAAGAAACCGTGAAAAGGTCCAACAGCAAGATCCAAAAAAGATGCACTGAACAGAGTGAAATAAAGTGCAAACATCATCTCAGTGTTGCGGACACGTGAGGCAGGCGATGCTGAGGGGGGATTCCGCAGCACTCACCACGTGAAAGAGCGAAACTGTAACTCGGGCTCTACCCTAAGAAATACAGCCAAGGCAAGCAGAAAGGGGAACTAACAAGATAAGGACTGAAGTGAAGAGGCCAAGCCAGCAAACAGGTCACCAGCAGGGAGTGCATGACTGTCTAGAGACTGCCACACAGATGACATAAACCAAGCAGGGCTGCTTTCCTTATTCCAGGGAAGCCGCAGGGCTGGGCGAGTGACAGGAAGGTCACACGAGGCCCTGCTGTGAAGGAGTGACCCTGCTGAGCTGTTCCATCCACACTGGACTGTGATTGTCAGCCACGCACACTCTGGGCTAAGGTCTTAAGGTGGAAATGTCGTATTCATTCAAACGTTTAAACATTAGCCACCAAACTTCCCATCTCGACTCCAGGAAAGTGTAAGCGATCGAGGAGTATCCACTAAATTGAAACTCAGAAGGCAAGTCACTAACGTGAGCTAAACTTTACCCATGATTTGAATCACCTCCCCACTGTCTCCAATGCCGAGACTGGATGTCAGTTCTCTAAGAAGGCTTTCTTACCTCATAGAAGAAGGGGTGTCCAGCCATGTCGAAGATGTTAACTTTGATTTCTCTGTCTCTGACTTGGACCCTGAAATATTCAAATGGAAACAGAGTCACATTTCCAGAGGCTTTCTTCACCCTCCTCCTAACTCCAGATAATCTTTACAACAGAAGCCGGCAAGCTGGCCCACAGGCCTGCCTCCCTGCTTCAGAACACTGAGCCCCGACTAAGGACCTAAGGACCCACCTTCCACCTCAGATACTTCAGCCCACAACCCTGAACCAACAAGCTGCCCCTGCCTGCCAAAGGATGATCCCAACTGAGCTTGTTGACTGTTTATGTCCCCTGGGGGTGGTCATAAGACCCTCACCAGAGTATCCAGCTTCTCCCTACCACCTGAGTAAGTAACTCTGCCTTAACCTGCAGACAGCCCTGGGGAAGGGGTAGAGTATACAGGCTGGGAAACACAGAGTGGGGGAGGTGCGCCAAGGGGTGCCATCTGTGCAGCTATGGGGAAGCCCTTATCTCAGCTGGTAAAGACTTGCCGGTGCAACCTTTTGGGAGAGGGGTACCCACACCACAGATAACCCCTCACCTACGCTCTGGAAGTCAAACAAACACATTGGTCCCCTAGGTGGAGTCTTGTCTTGCTTTGTCATTGAGACCTTGGGAGGAGGGGTAAACGTTACTTAGGTCTCCCCTGGGAAGGAATTTTAGCACTATTCATCACGGAATAATCATCTTTAAAAAAAAATAGTAACAACCAGTATTGAGTAACCCAATGCACCCTGTCTCAAAATAAACAAACAAACAAACAAACAAATAAATAAGTCACAATCCTATGGCATCATACAGCAATTTCCATTTTTTAGATAAACTAGGTACTGATATGGGATCTGAACGAAGGCGCCTTAAATAGGATGTCCCACCACATCAGTGATAAACTCCATGCTCTGAAATAGAAAAAGTAGAAAGAAATATGGATTTCAAATGAAGAGCTTCCTAACTTTCACAGTCAAGAGCGACAGACTCCATACTTTACTGAAAATGTATAAAAACCTTTGCTGCTCTCAGCTGGCAAATGGCCACAGAATTTACATGGAACTCTCGGGTCCTACTTTGCCACCGACCTGAACTACTTAAATACAGTCTGAAGGGACATACATAAACTTGACCTTGCCCTTCAGACAACTGACATTCTGCTATGGACACACCTCACCAATTTTATCGACCTCCTTGAATATTGCCTTCACATTCTGATACGGAAATTTTTCACCTTTAAGAGTAACTATCTAACAATATTTATCGAGCAGTCACCAGGGAGAAACACTGTACCAGGTACTTGGAGAAAACATACAAAAATCCCTTTTACAGCATTCACTTTGGATGAAGGACATTAAAAAAACAAAAAACAAACAAACAAAAAAAAACAATCAACCTGACTGACCAGGAAACTCCCTCCCTCCTGGCTAGCTTACAAAGTACCAGAAGATGCTCTGCAGGTTGCTGGGGAGAGAAGAGATCATGATCTCCCCCAGTGGTGGGCCCTCCAGGCTACAATACCCACCTGCCTGGCGTAACAGTGGCATGCAGTTCTGAGCGGGACCAACTGACCACTTTGATTAGTACGAGGCCTGTTCTACGGGAGAGCTTTCATGCCTGACGTGTAAACCTGGTCAAAAGCCATGGCCGGGAGATGACAGAGGGGGGGGGGGGGACGACACTGCTGTTTTGCTCAATGATCATGAGGTCAAACTGCCTTCTCAGTTTAGACCCACAGACTTGTGTTGTTCTCAGCTTTGGTCAGAGAAGCTTCTTGTGATGGGTCATACAGACATGCCTAACTGGTCACAGTGCCAAGTGTAAGTGGCTATGAACGCTTCCTTATGGATAAATTGTCTGCATCAGCCTCGACTGAGCCAGGTCAGGGAGCATCAGGCCAGAGGCGGCAGAAAGAATGTCAGAGCTGGCGGGTAGGGAACAAAGACGGGAAATGCTGACTGACAGATCAGCTCACAGACCCTGGGGTCACCTGGACACGACCAGATCAAGCCAGTCAAAATTCCGGCATGGATCGAGCACCTTTGGGTCCCACACCCTTGGCAGAAGAGCGACTGGCAGTTGGTGGCTGCTGAGGGAAGGGGAGTATCCTTTGAGAACGTGGCCACTGGTAGGTTGCCCGTGCTAGTGGATGGGCTCACACCCATGCACGTGCGGAGGTAATGGTGAATGATACGATCAAAATGCATTATACAAATGTATAAAACTTTCAGAGAATAAATACAAATACTAGCAAAAGAAGAACAGCCCTTTCTCAAAGTCAGAGATAGTAAACGTACAAATAACACACACACTCTAGTCAGCTGCAGTTCCACGGTTAAGAAATGTGCTCTTTACCCCAACTCTACTCTTCGGGGGCATTTCTCTTGTTGTTTTAATCCCCTCTCCAACCATTCTCGATTCACCTCCAAATAAATCCCCACTTACCCCCAACTTCATTATTCTCTGATCTGCTGGATTCCAACAAGCTACCGAGATCATAAACCAACAACAGACAAAACAGCCTTAAAACCCACTTGCTGGCAGGACCCGCGTACACGGAAATCTGTCCTACGAAGCCCCATCTGCCAGCGAGGCTTGCGCTTGCTCATCGCTGCCAAGCCCACGTCTGAAACCAGGTCTGGACTGGCAGGTTCCTAATACACTGGCTGGCTGAAAAGATGGCACCACGTACCTGAAGAAGTCCCTTAGCCCCGTCTTTTCCAATTTGTCTTCAAAGCCTCCCTTTCAGTGCATCCCACACACATGCTCTGATGTAGACACAGACTCTCTCAGGACACACGCTGAGGATCTGTGCCATGCACAGGCCAGAGGAACAACATACTCACTTGGTGACTCCATAGTCAATTCCGATTGTCGCCAGGTACTTGGACACAAACCTCTTCTCACAGTAGCGCTTTATAATGCAGCTCTAGAAAGACAAGAATTGCGTGCACTTAGTAATACACACTGGAAAGATGTGTGAGGTAACACATTCCTTCACTGGGCTTTCTTCAGTCACCTCACTGGAAATCAAAGTGTTTTCAAATGCTAGCTGACATGGCGGTGGGTGCCTGTAACTCCAGCACTTGAGAAAGAGAACTAGAACAATCAAGGGATCGAGGCCAGCCTCAACCATACGAGAGAGATCCTGTCTCAAAAATAAAACAAATCCCCCAAAGACAAAAGAAAAAAAAGCATCTGAAATAAGTATTTTTAAAAACGAGGGTTTTATTTGTAGTTTGTTTTGAAAAGGTCTCACTCCTGGCTGGCCTGGAACTCGCTATGAGGATCAGGCTGCCTCGCGCCTCTGCCTCCCTAGTGCTGGGATTAAAGGCACGAGCCACCAACCAGGCCACAAGTGAAGATTTTAAAGAAAAAAAAAATTGAATTCTTACCTTCAAACTAAATCTGGATGTTTTCAGCTTTATTCCCAACCACAGTGCTCTTTTCTTCTGCAGATCTTTTCCATCCTTCTACTTCCAACACCACGAAAACATCCACATCCAGCCTTGACTCCCTCCCGGGACCAGAGCCACACACCTAAGCATCTACTAGATGATTTCTGCTCAAATATCCTGCCATCATCTAATTCAGCATGTCTCCAAATGAGCCTGTCTTGCTGACATCTAGCTCTGTTAATCAGGCCTTCATTTTCCCAGTGACAAAGGACCAAATGATTAAAGTCGTATTTGAGTCAAGGCCCCAGTCTAAGTCTATATCATCATTATCCTTAGTGCCAATATCCAAAAACAAAAACAACCCAGATGGCTGAATACAATGTATGCCATCCATGTGATGGACTATACTTCTACGATATGAAGAACATACTGACAAACAGCACAACAAAGACTCACCTTACACGAGTTATACTAAGTAAAAAAGTCTGCAGCAAAAGAATACATGTGACTCCACCGATACGAAACAGCCAGAATAGGCAAACCCACGGAGGCAGGAAGTGGGTTAATGGTTAGGGGACACAGGGAGAGCCTGCTAATTGCTACATTGTTTGTTTTTTTTCAGGGGATGATGAAATTGTTCTATAATTGATCATAGTAATGGTTTCACAACTCTGTGAATGAACTGAAAATCAGTGAACTGTATGTTTCAAATAAGTGATTTCTTTGTGAATTATATCACATTTTGTTTTAAATTTAAATTTCATTTGTAATTATGCATGGATGTGGATGTCTGTGGATGCAGACACATGTAGGTGGCGACAGAATACAGATGAGGGAGTTAGATCCCCTTGAGCTGAGATACAGGCAGTGAGAGCCCCATCTGACATGGGCGCTGGGAACTGAATGCTGGTCTTCTGCAAGAGCAGCAAGTGCTTTTAACAGCCGAACTCTCTCTCTCTCCAGCCCACATTAAGGCTTTCTTCATTCAAGAATTTTTATGGTTTTTAATCATTGGGGAAGAAAAAGGTTATTTCCAATATTTTTTTCTCCCCCCCCCAATTTGTGTGTGTGTCTGTCTGTCTGTATTATATGTATGTGCCCCATGTCTGTCTGTCTGTGTATATTGTACGTATGTGCCCCATGTCGGAGGTCAACTTTTGGAATTTGGAAAAAAGGTTCTCTACTTCTACCATGAGTTCTGGGGACTGAATGAGGTCACCAGGCTTACGCAGTAAGGGCTTTAACACCAGCCCACCCCAAGCCCAAGGGCTTATTCCTTTCTATGTGGGAAACTTGAAATTTCTCAGTGTGCCCTTGTTTATATTCTATTCAACTTCTTGCATTGACAATGTACCCCAGAGCCCCATGCAAGTTTTCAAAGTGTCCTAAGATCTGAAATCACCTAACGTGCTCATTCATCACTGACCTCGTGTCTTTTAATATAGTATGTTAATTTTGACAGCATATTTTTAAAAATAGTAGTGAATAAAAATGACGGTTACATTTTTATTTAATCTATTAAGCACATTTTCCAAAACTGTCCAACTTTTATCTACACAGGAGGCCAAAATTTAGGCAGAAACGGGAGTTTTAATTAAGCGGATGGATGTCATTCTTCAGCGGCCATCCATCTTTATTCGGGACCTGGGGCTTGCTGATTAGGCTAGGCTAGTTGGTCGATGGCTGCCAGGGGTCCACGGGTCTCCGAGCCTGCGCCACTATCTCAGGTTTTTATTCTAGATAGTGTTTTTCACGATTGCACAGCACCAACTGAGCTATATTCCCAAATCTCTTTGCCTCTTAAAACACAGTTGGAACATGGTTAATAGTCAATAAGTGTTAAATTTCAACGAACACTTTGTTAACACACACACAACGATACCTAAGTAGTCGGGGGAAAAAGCTAAGGAGTAAGGCGCGACTCAATATTCACTGAACATCTAAGTGCAGCGCACTGGTTTAAATATTCCCATTAGCAGGTCTTCTGCATTTGCGGGAGTACAGACACCGCTTCTAACCCCCTCCCCGTCACTGATTTGTCGACCTTGGGATTCTTCACCAACAGCTTCCGCTCATTAAGGGAGAAAACTTGAGTAAGAATAGGCATCTCAATTCATTTGGGAAAAGCCCTAGGTCACCGCTGCCCATCTGAGAGGAAGTTTAATAGCTAATATGCAGCAGACAGAACACACAGAAAGACGGGGGGGGGGGGGGGGAGGTTTCTCTGAGAAAACGGACGTGACAGTATGAGAAATTTAACGCAAAAACCACGTAGGATGCCGGGCAGCCAGTGCACGTCCCCTGAAAACACATTAAGTTGTTATGTTCTGGTGATGGGAACGTGGACTTGCGGGCTCTGCCTGGCGACATTTTTCTGAATCCACCACCTCACAGGCATCCCTTTAATCGCCACAACTAGGAGGCAACGACTCTCCCCACCTTCATGTCTTGGACTCCTCTCTGGGAAAGCAAATTTTGGTATCTAGGACTACCCATTTGGGACCGAGGCCTCTTTACTCCCTTCAAAATACAGTCAAAAGGTCAGAGGCCACCCCAGGCACCTTCTTATGGGCAGTGGCGTTAGTAAAGAGCGTGCAACCCAAAGGTCAAAAAGGTCAAGAGAGTTCTCCGGAGGCTGCAAACCCCGGGTGAGCGCAGGGATGCTCCGGGATGGAGGCGGGGCTTCGGGCCGTTGAGTGGCCACTCTCTCGGCCAATGGGCATGCCTCTCCCGGCGGCACGCGGAGGTCCCGCCCCCTCGCAGCCTGCGGTACTCACTTTCCCCACTTCGGCGTTGCCCATGGAGATGACTTTGATGCGGAGGGACTTGGCTGGCTCTTTGCGCTTCGGCGGCACGTTGGCCTCCATCGCCCTCGCCCTGCCGAGGCTGCCGCTTCCGGTGTCCCTGCTGCACCCCGCCGGGCAGCCCCGTCCCTCAGGCCTCCTTGCCCAATGGCGGAGCCGCTGCGCTCGTCACCGCCCCGGTCCCGCGGCTCGCCATCCCCAACCGCTGCCTGGCCGCGGACGGACGCGGGCGGTTGGGAAGCGGCGAGCCGCCGCGGAGGGCCAGGCGAGTCTCGCGATGACAGCGCGCAGTGACGTCACTGCGGGGCTCGGGAGGACCGGGGCTCGGCGTCGGCGTCCTGCAGGAGGTCGTGCTTCTTTGCTTGGTCTGCACTCCGTGGCAGAAATGTGGCTGTCACGGGGAGGTTCTGATGAAATTCGGTGTAAGGCCCAGCCACGCCAAAAATTCTAAGCGAACCATGCCTTTTTTTTTTTTTTCCCCCTCTGCAATCCTGGCCGATGGGTGCCTCTGCTGCCTCCCCCTCTCCATCCATACCGTGACCCCTCAGTTTCTGCAGGGGACTGATCCCAGGATCGCAGTGGATTCTGCGGATCTTCCAGTCACACAGAGATGGTGTCATTAGCAGGGTGTCACTCGGGAGGCAGAGGCAAGCAGATCTCTGCTATGTTCAAAGCCAGCAGGGCTATATAGTGCAATCCTGTTTCAGACAAACAAAAATATATAATTTTTAGGTAACCATACAATCCTTATGTAACGTCTGCACATCCTTAGCCTACTTTAAGTCACGTCTACATTACTTGTACTACTATCTTTGGGTTACTATTGCTGTGAAGAAACCATCGGGAGCTGATGCAGAGGTCATGGAAGAGTTCCGTTTACTGGCTTGCGCCTTCTGCCTTGCTCAGCCTGCTTTCTTATAGAACCCAGGACCACTAGCCCAGGGATGGCACCACCCACCATGAGCTGAGCCCTCCCCCATCAATCACTAACTAAGAAAATGCCCTACAATCTGATATCATGGAGGCATTTTCTTAATTGAGGTTCCCTCCTATCAGACGACTTAATTTTGTGTCAAGGTGACATAAAACTAGCCAGCCTAACTACCCAGTACAAGGTAAATGCTATTACAATATAAATGCCATTATTATGTAAATAGCTGCCATTCTATATTATTGCCCTTTAGGGAATAATCACACACACACACACACACACACACACACACACACACACACACACGAACCTACATGTTTAATACATAATCGTCAACTTCCACTACACTACCCTCCTGTTGCTGATTGTTTTCAGCAGACGGTTGCTTCACTCTGCAGACATCCCACAAGGGCAGAGGGCCACCTGTAAGATTTCTTTTGCTCACCTAAGAAGATGGTGTCAGGAGATGAGCAGGGAGACTCAGACCCTGGTTCTGGAAAAGGACCTTGGACAAGACTCTTGTTGAAAAACAGAGTTGCCCTTCGGAGCAAAGGCAGACGTTTTAGTTTGCTCCTCTCTAGCATAGATCTAGTGGCCCATCCTCCAGAGGAAAGCTCAGGCTGGATGCTTCTTACATTTTTGTTCAGCTCCGTGAAGGTGTAGGATTGTACCTGAAATCTCTTCGGGTTCCTCCTCTGACGGCCACTGACACCCACTCTTAACACAGCATCCCGTTCTCTTTCCCCTTAGCTGACAAGATAAGGTAGAATCATAAATTCTGTGATGATAACTTGTTATTATTCAAGCAACTGTTTGAATGAAAGTCAGTCTGACAGACACAATTTTTTTTAGTCAATGATTTCAGCTACAGATGTAAACAGAACTTGACGAATGAATGGTTATCCCGTGCCCTGGGGGAAAGATGGCTGCCAATTTCTCAGGAATCACAAAGGTGAGGGTGGCCTTGCTTCTGCCTCCACAGGCTGTGGACATCTTAAAACGTGTTCGGGAAGACACAGTGAAGCCAGAGTTGTCAGTACTTGTTTGATGTCAGTTTTCAAGCATGTTTAATTTAAAATATTAAATGCTTTTTAATCTGTGGTCATGGGAAGGTCCGTAGGAGATGGTGAATGAGTACAGGCATGACTTCAGGAACCAGGCTCAGGACCCCTGTGGGTGTGTAAATCTATAACTCTCCAGTGCCTTATGTAAATGGCACAGCACTTGCATATAGTATAGGCATGTTCTCTCGTACACTTTAAATTGTGTCTAGATTATTGATAAGAACTAATGCAATGTAAATGCTGTGTAAACAGTTGTTATACCATATCAACAAGAAAAGAGTCTGCGTTCAGTACAAATGCAATCTTTTTCCCCCTAAATATTTTCAACCTATAAATTGTTCAATGCATGGATACAATACCCACAGACACAGGAGGCTATTGTGTAAGGGGATTTCTCAACAAACAGTAGCTGTCTGCTTAAACGTACTTGTGTTTTATATAATAATGAAGAGTCTACTTTTTTTTTTTGAGATATAGTCTCATGTAACACAGGCCAGCCTCGAACTCATGCAGCTGAAGATGACCTTGACCTTCCTTCCTCCCCGCCTGAATCCTTAGGATGACAGATATTGCCACCACACCTGGTTTTATGTGGTGTCAGGGATCTGAACCCAGAACTTAGTGTGTGCTAGGCCAGCACTCTCCCAACTGAGCTTAAAGAGTAAATTTGAAATATTTGAGCCTATCTAAAGATATAAGAAATAATGAATTGGGCATAGTAGCTCACACCCTGAGGCAGGCAGATCCCCATGGGTTTGAGGCTGGCCTGGTCTCCATCAAGTTCCTAACCGGTCAGGGATATATAGTGAGGCCTTGTCTCCAAAAAGAATGAATGAGACCTGGTGTGCTGGCACACGCCTTTAATCCCAGCACTTGAAGCAGAGACAAATGGATCTCTGTGAGTTCAAGGCCAGCTTGGTCTACAGAGAGAGATCCAGGACAACCAGAGCTAAATGGTGAGACCCTGTCTGAGAAAAAAGGAAAGAAAAGAAAGAACGAAAGAAAGAAAGAAAAGGAAGGAAGGACAAAGTGAATACTTGCATGTCTGCTACCCAAACAAAGTAAAGCATCACTGTCACCGTGGGTGTGGCTTTCCCAGTCCTTACCTCCTCCTTTACAAACACTTGCAGCTGCCTGCATTAGTGCTTCCAATTTCCAGACCTTATAAATGTTTAAATGCACATTTTATGTAGCTTCAGATTGAGGGTTGCATTTCATCTTTGAAATTATTTTGAGTCAGGTGGTGGTGTTGGCACATGCCTTTAATCCCAGCACGTGGAGGCAGAAGCAGATGGGTCTCTGTGAGTTCGAGACCAGCCTGGTCTACAGAGCAAGTTCCAGGACAGCCAGGATTACACAGAGAAACCTTGTCTCAAAAATAAACAAACAAACAAACAAATAAATAAATAGAAATAAAAATTATTTTAAAATAATTTAATGAAGAAAATTTTTAGGAACAGCACAAAAACAAATCTTCTAGATCTTTCTAAAGCCACCAGTTGTTAAACATCTCAACCCATTTGCTGTATAGGTTGTGTTTTCTATTTGTACATATATATGCATGCACATTTTTCTCATTTGAAATTAATTTGCAAAATTCTTAAATCCATAAATACTTCAATATGTATTTCTAAGAGCAGAAACTTTATCTTACATAGCAATAATACATGGATCAAAATCAGGCAATATAGCCAAGAAGATGCCAAAGTGGGTAAAGTGCCTGCTGCCAAACCTGGCACCCTGAGTTCGATCCCCAGGACCCATATGCTGGAAGGAGAGAACCAATTCCCACACAGTCCTCTGCCCTCCTCACAGATGCTGTGGCACAGGCACTCACACACAGGACACACACCTGCACGCACACAAAATAAAACGTAAGAGGATTTTATAAAATCAGGCAAGACAACCTTTAAACAGCATTAACATGTGTCCCCCCCCCCCCCCCCGTGATTCTCAAACTACGAGGAGATCTCCACAGTCCCACAGCGAATTCACAGGGATGTCTGTAGGGTTCTAAAATTTCAAGGCAAACCAAATGAACACAAAACGAAAACAAACGGCAGAGATGCCGCTTTGCTGCTGTTTCCAGTTCTAACACTAGATGGTACCCAACCGTTGTGTGTGTCATATTGGAGTTTTCAGGGCATGATTTTCAAAACGGAACCGTGCAGTCCTCAGAAAGGGCTTGCTGCAGTTTTCATGTATTAGTCTTCGAGTGGCTACTAAATTATTAGAGCATAGATACTTCATGAGTTGTTTACACCTAGGTATATCTTTGGACCAGGACACAATGTGAATAAAGAGAGAGACAGAGATACTTTAACACCACTACGAACAAAGAAAACTAGGAAAGCTTGACTTAATTGATTATCAAATTTTGTGATTTGTCCCCATAATGTGTGTGTGTGTGTGTGTGTGTGTGTGTGTGTGTGTGTGTGTGTGTGTGTAGGGGTCAGTTATCTTCCTCCTGTATAGACTCCATCTTATCTTTTGAAACAGGATCTTTCCCTGAACTGGCTCACTGATTGGCTAGACTTACTGGCCGGAGAGTTCTGGGGATCCCCACCACCACCACTATGCATGCTAGACAAGAGCCCTACCACTGAGCAACACACCCGCACTCCTATGTCCTTCCCTGAATCTCCACCACTTTTGAGCATTTTCTTGCTTTCTGCCATAGCAAGCCCTTCCTGATCCCTTGCTTCCTTTTCAAGCAGTGTGGCATTTAGACCCAGGTCTTAGGGGTGCTCATTGGTACCGGCATGTCTCCGCTTTCGGCTCCTCCAGTTGACTGGGGGGAAAAACCACATGTAGGTCCATATAGACATCTAAACCCATATTTTTAAAACACACCTTGCATGCATTTCTGCCTAGTGGATACGTTCTGGTAGTCTCCCTCTCATAACTATATTCTCCTTTTTATAGCGAGAAGTTGATTTCCACTGTCCTTGGTGTATTTAGTCATGTGCGATACATAGAAAGTGTTTTCAGGATTGTTAACACCATTTCAAAAAAAGAAAATATTTGAGCTAGAATTCAATACTTAATTACAATTCTTTTTTGTCCTGAACTGACAGATACCATTGTCATGTAAGGTTTCAGGTTAATTGGGTTGGTTTGTTCATCTTCCCTTCAAAATGACTTAGAATGTCTTTGAAATAGAGTTATGTAGGGACTGGAGAGGTAGCTCAGTGGTTAAGAGCACTGGTTGCTCTTCCAAATGGACCCAGGTTCAATTCCCAGCTCACAGGGCAGCTCACAACTGTCTGTAGCC